CCAGCTCTTCCATGATGACTCTTCAATGAATACCTTATCTACATTGCCTGAGTTCATATTGATGAAACCCTTCTGGACCTCTGACAGCCTGATGGAGAGCGATTCATTTTACTTTTTGTTCATTTCTTGTTCCTTTGAAACAAGGCGAGTTGCTAACCTTGATGTGCCCAAAGGTGTCGTTTATGGCAGCGTGTCCATTCCCGGGGAGGAAGGCCAAGCTCTGCTTGAAGCAGCGGTCAGCAAACTGTTGCAGACGTTTGCAGGATCCGGTGATGAACCGGCGGTGTTGTGGACACTGCGTTACACGCAGCTGGGGCTGTCGTGTGAGAAGGACAGTGATGCGAGCATTTGCAGCAGTGCAAGATCTGACCGGATTGTGTACTTCCCGCCGCCTAGTCTCGACCTTGCGTTCGATGACAGGATGATCGACGCGGTCAAGGCGGCGTGGAAAACAGTGATGGGTGATGAGGCCCGAGATGAAGATTTTATGACTTTTGAGGATCGAGGTGTGAGCCTTGATGATGAGTGATCAGTAATCACCTCGTAATGGTCCGTAGGACTAGCGAGTTCACAGGTGTAGTGCAGTTCGTAGTTCAGATTTCTAGATCCCACGTTGCAATTCGAATTTTCAATTCTAACAATAAAACAAGTGTACTCTTTTTTGCTCAAGTCTACTCTTCCCATTTCATCAGTTTAACTGGCTTACCAGCGTATGTAGTAAAAGCAAACGGATGGCATATGGAAACTTTGCACGTATTTGCAAGTAGATAAATAAGGTCTTGAAGAAGAACACAGCATGCCAAACCGTACCGCAGTTAGACGCTGTCCCAAGGAGATGCATACCAATACCACGGCGGCGGACACACTTGCGTCATGCCACCATCATTGCATTGCATGTTTATTTATCATCAGGGTTAGTTTACTATAGGAGAATTTAATTAATTAAACTCTGGGTCAATAGATAGATAATTCTTCATTCCTCCATTCTCAATAATAAATAACTTAATAGTAATAATAACCTCGAGGAAACACGTAACATAATGATAAATAAATAAAGGAGGTAATAATAACCTATTAATTAATGACAACAGACCAGAGCTATCAGGCTCTGGGATACAACAACTCACGCTCAGCGGTTCAGCAGATCTTCGAGTCAGTCTAGTAAGTATATCGATCAAATAAATAAATTCCCTTGGGAAACAAACGGCTCTGTACTTCCGTCAGGGTACGTACAAGTACATGTACAATATCTATCGAGGTAATTTTGTGATACTCGACCGATATATCCTCCTCACCTTAGATAAGGACATGTCTCTGGTCGGGTGATATTGGCGTTGATCTGAGCAAGCAAGCAATTCAACATGGGAAGGTATCAACCTTCCTCCTGATAGCAGTATAATACTAATAATCCGAAACATCTTCCATTTCACTCACTGTCACGTAGTTGACAATAAATAATAACAGAGGAAGGACATCCTGGCTGCTGCTCAAATCAGCAGTAATAATATCGCTCGCATCTGCAGATGGTATGACAGCCAGAGATACTACAGTACAGCAGGCAATAGGTAAGACTATTGCAACGCAAACATTAATATTGATTTGATGGAGAGAAACCTGAGTTTGGGAATAATAGTAACTAACGGTACAATCAATAACACTGAAACATAGCCTACCTATTTCAGCGATAATAATCATATTAATTAATAATGATAATGATAATGACGATCTTGATTGATATCACCAGGTTACAAAGTTACACCCGTATCGTATATCAATCAAATCAATATCAATGAATCGGGTCCGTGGTCTCTAATCAAAATGCTTGCACCCGATGGACAAAAAAAAAGAGAAAGATCTTCAAGATAGCCCCCTATCTAATTACATGATAATAATAGCTACTCTGTATGCTAGAGTACGGGGTTCTACGGGGTAATTAATTACTTCATTCCAATTCCATCATTTATGCGGTTGCACACGATGATCCGTTCCGCATAATGATCACCAGAATCTGAAACATATCTAGGTAGCTAGCATAGTAGGTAATCTCGGGAGGGAGGGCGATCAATCACCGATCAATCATCCATTCAGGTAGGTAGTTTCATTAAAATTGTTTTTCTTTTGGTCCCCTGTCTGGTTCTATTTACTTGTTGATCAACATTTATGGTTATATTATTTATTATTTATTATGATAATAATTAATTAATTGCTGCTATTACTATGACTCTGGTTGCGGTTAGACTCGATCTCCCGGGAAATTGTGACCGTCGGGACTAATTAATTTCTGTACTACATACCTAGTACTTACCATCTACTACGGAATACTAGGTACCTACGGAGTAATAGGCTAATAAAATAGGTAGTAGGTAGTAGGCAGGGATCTAGATAGAGAGTAGATAGTGTACTGTACTCCGTACAGAGTAAGGTGTAACGTTTCTCGGCTTTTTATCGGTAGGTAGATAGTAACGGTCTTGATTGACCATGCTGATCATCCTGTGGATTACAACTGACTACGGGCTAATAACTAGGTTGTAACTGCTAATGCTGATAAGTGGTAAATACGATTATCTGGCTAGGTATCTAGGTATTGTGATTAGGTTAGTGTTTTGTCAGTGCTTGGTTCAAAGATACTAGTACTCTGTAGATAGATCCTGTTAAACAATACTGCTGTTATTGCTGTTATCTTCCGAAAGACATTGATTTGATCTTGCAGTACTGTAACACTTCTGGCTGTGACGAGACATCGCATCGGTTGCTGTCAGTACTATTGCCCTTCTCCAGCAAGCCACATCGGTCAGAATTAAGAAGAAACGTGGAGTTTCATCGCAAAGAAAAGTGATTATTAAATGTGCTTGTGTTATTGTACATACGTACCTAAATGGTATGTCTATCTGGATGTCGCTATCATCATCATTATCCAGTAAGCAGCTAAATAATACTTGAAAATAATTATTAATAAGTGTAGTATTGGTGATGTCTGATGGAATACTCCGTAAGATCGTCCAATCTACTAGTTATCTGATCAGACGATCGATGTTGATGTATGTCACTGTGAAACAGAGGAGAGGATTACTCCAGTCAGTTTGACGTCAGGTGACTGCAATCCTGCGATTCTGCTGAATGCCCATGATGCAGTCCAGACCCGGCAGTTGTATATATTTAGCACAGCTGTCACTGTCAGCCTCAACACCATCGTCAACTACCGAGTACGGAGGACCACGCAACAAGAGCCAGATCCGATCGATCGAGTGGCTCAGTGCAGCCGTCCCCTTCAGCCCGTTGGAGGATGGCAGTTGGTGGCGTGGGCAGGCGCCTATAAGGAACTCGGGGGGCTGTTATTTTTGTCGCCTTTGCAAGCCACTGACGCAGGAAGAACAATAACCAGAACAATAGTACACTAAAACTATGCCATGTGCACAAGAACGGCAGTTTAGCTGTCATCGTGGTGTTATATAGTCTAGGATATCGGTTCTTGGCCCCCATTGTTGCGCTTTTTTTTTTTCAGTTAATTGATTGTTGGATCTGGCTCGATGGCAGAATTTCTAGACCTTCTAGACCTTCATGGGAATCTTTTTGATTTTCTGAACTACCAGCTGGTTCGATTCACTGGATCTAGGAGGACAAGTCCTGGATAGATCTATACTAGGTAGATTGATTGCATTAGGTACTGTACTCCAACGTACCACGGCTCCTAGTAAAGTACGGAGTAGCACGTGCAGAATAAGTAGAAAAAATTTACTCGTATATTCTTTGAAATAACGTTAATGAAGTAAAATTAAAATTTGATACTACTCTTCTGGGATAACGATGCTCAGGGGCCGAATCCACTTCCTCACCGACGGGCAATGTTCGGGATCCCTTTTGGCGCTGAAATCTCCCGACCGTGGGTCGGTACCCACGGGCCACCGTCAAGAATACGGAGCAATACGGAGTATGGAGCACTCCGTTCTCGTCCAGAATGTACAAATCTGTCTTCAGTAGACCATTACTATATCTTCTAGAATAACACACTCAGCAGCGCTGCTGTGGCTGTAACTGCATGTCTGGCAGCAGCTCGGATTCAGCTGCAGGCGAAAACGGAAATCCACCAGAACACCATCGCTGGGGCACTGTGCTCATTTCGTCTGCCGATCGCGGTGGATCGAGTGGCTGGGAAGTCGGTCGGCCGGGCTGGAGAACCCTGGGTCAGCGGTGGAGGCTTCAGCGACCAGGCACCGTGACGTCGCTGGCCCCCGGGGCATTCCTGGCCAGCTGCAGGTGGCGTCAGCGTTTTCTTGTCAAGTGCTTGTCTCAACGACGACGGAGATGGGGTCATCTGTGCAGCCCACCAGTCAGACAGGGATGGAGAGAAGGCATCCAGAGGGAACAGTAGCAACTGGCCTCGAGCCATTTACCGCAGACCCTGATCCATCTTGCCAGACAATGCGCTGGGCCGGTGATCAGCGCGGGTCAGGAACGGACACGGCTGGAGTGGGTGCGGGCTCAGCGCCGTCGCACGCTGCCGGCCGCCTCCCGTGTCGCTGGGCGGGAGAATGGCTTGGCTTGGATTGTCGTTTCTGCGTTGCAACTGTCGAAAGCGGTTTCACGAGCGGTAGCAAAGGGATGGCGAGCAGTGGAGAAGACGCGCCATCCAGCGATCCGGTGGCATTCCACTGCCCGCCCAATCGCTGGTGCCGGAGGGCAGCTCCGGACAGGCTCTCTGTTGACGGTGCTCGCTCGAAACAGGCCCAGAAAACTCATTCATATTGCAACAAACCCGCTCACCGGCCGTGCTCGTGCTGCAGTTAAGCATCCTGCCCGATCGCCCTCGTCTAGTGCGGTTCGTCGCTGCTTAATCGCGAGGGGGCCAATTGCCAGTGCCGTCTGCTCCGCCCAGCCTTAACTAGTCTTCGTCGCTCAGGAGTGAAGTCTCCCCTATTATCCCTCTCCCTCCATCCGTCCTATCTCGCTCGCCTCGCCTCTCCCCTGCTCCCCCACCTCCCGCCTCTCCACGGCCTTTGCGTTCGGTCGTTTTCTCTTCTTCTTTTCTCCTGCCCTCCTCTGCGTCTTCTTGTTGTGTCGCGTCGTGTCGTGTCGTGCTTGTTTTCTGCCAGTGTCGCCGGTCTCGACGCAGCCAGTCGCTCTCTTGCCGCATTCCTGCCAGGCACTTCTGCCGGTTTCGTTCTTTACCTGTCTGTCTGTCTGTCTGTCTGTCTGTTTCTCTGTTGTTGTCCCAACCGCCCGACCGTCCAGCCCGGCGGTGACGGGCAGAGAAACGCTTCCTGCTCGTCCTTCGCCGCGTCTCTGATGATTTCCAAGTCGTCCTACTTCTCTCGTCCCGTCGTCACCATGCCGCCTCTCCGGCTGAAGACGCTCTTTCCCCTGATCGCCCTCTTCTCCATCGCCTTCTTCTTCTGGTGCGTCGACCGCTATGACCGGGCCGCCCTGCTGCGCTTCAAGCGTCCCATCGACCACCTGTCCGGTAGCGGCAGCAGCTCGCCTGCCCAGGTCCAGATGCAGCCCCAGAAGCTCACCGAGAACTGCGAGATCGACCCGGCCACTGCTCCGCCGCTGCCCTTCAACGAATGGTTGATGCGCAAGAACTACACCCGTGCCTACTTCCGCCCGCACCACGTCCACCCAGACACCGAGTTCCGCTCGCTCGAGGACATCGACCAGCGCGTGCTGCCTCCCTTCCGTGCCCTCGAGCGTGGAACCGTCATCTCCGACGAGAACGAGGACCCGACCCTGCCCTGCCCGCCCATCATCGACGTCGACGTCGCTGCGGACCACGATGTGGAGGAGACTTCCAAGATTCTGTTTGGTCTGGCCACGACTGCCGACCGTCTGGAGCGTCTGCTGCCCTCGCTGCTGTACTCCTACGGTGACACCAAGGCCGGAATTCTGGTCCTCGTCCCGGAGTCTGATGACGACCTCGAGAAGCAGGAGGCCTACTTCCGCGCCCGCGGCTTGGATGTGACCATCCAGTCCTCCCCGCTGGAGTTCACGGCCCGGTACTTTGGTCTGGTCGAGGCGTTCACCAACCACATCAACACCAAGCGTCCCAACACCTCTTGGGTCAGCTTCATCGACGACGACACTTTCTTCCCTTCGCTCGCCAGCGTCGCTCAGCAGCTGAAGTTGTTCGACCCGACCAAGAAGCATTACATTGGTGCTCTGTCTGAGGCCAGCTGGCAGGTCGACACCTTTGGCCACATCGCCTTCGGTGGTGCCGGTGTCTTCGTGTCCAAGCCCTTGCTCGACGTCTTGATGCAGTATTACGAAGAATGCCAGTCCTGGGGTGAGCAGCCCGGTGACCAGAAGCTGGGTCAGTGCATTGAGCGGTTCGGTGACACCCCCCTGACGCTGTGGCCGTCCCTGTACCAGATGGACATGACGGGTGAACCCGATGGTGTCTATGAGTCGGGTCGGAAGATCGATTCCCTGCACCACTGGGGCAGCTGGTACACCAAGGACGTGGTGAAGATGAGCACAGTTGCCGCGGCCGCCGGACGGCGATCCGTCCTTCGCCGCTGGGTGTTCGACCAGGAGGAGATTATCAACAACAGCACGGGTGGCTCGATCCGCTCCTTCTGGGTTCTCACCAACGGCTACTCCATTATCAAATACACTTTCGATGAGAACACCCCGGATGATGCCATCAACTTCGACCACACCGAGAAGACGTGGGAGGAGGAAACGTACGGCTACGAGCAGCGTCTGGGCCCTCTGCGTCCCAAGGACCAGGAAGGTGTGACCAAGGAGCGCTGGATGCTGAAGGAGGCCATGGTCGTTGGCGACAACGTCCACCAATTCTACACGCGCGAAGAGGAGGGCGGCCACAGCGTGATTGAGCTGGTCTGGCTGGGCCCGAAGGGCGGTGGTGGTGCTGGTGTCGGAGGCGGCCAGACCAAGTTTTAAAAAAAAAGAAACCGAAGCCCGCAATTCACGCCTCAAACAACTTTTTTTTTCTTCTTCCTGCACATTCTTCCGCGGGGAGTTCTTTGACTACTTCGCACGTGATTTTATTTCTTTTCTTTTTTATTTTATTTTAACCATTTTTCTTTCCTCTTGATCATTTATGTGGCGTTGCATTGGCAGGTTTTCGTTTTAAGACACGGCGCATCTCCAAGATCGGGTAATGGTGATTGTTTTGCTTGGAGTGAAGAAGAGCATTTTTCGATCTTCCACAATTCTCCTAACCAAACCGGGTGCCCCAGACTGGATCATCATGCACGGACTGACCCTGTGGAACCCTGTGTTGTCGATCCATTCCCGTCCATATTTCTCTACATTGGGTGCATTGAACAGCAAGTGCGGAGGCCTCTGGCAGGCAGGTATTCGACCCGCGGGCCTTTGTTTATTTTCCTTGCTCGTCTTCTCCCGGCCTCGCGTTTTTTTTTTCTCTATTCGTTCTCTTTGTCATGATTGAAGCTCGCAAAAATCCCATGTATAAATAGACTTGATCAAGGCTACTACTCCCCTTGGTCCGTTGTGTTGTGGGCTAGTTAGTAGTGGTGTCTGTCTCTACGCTAGTCTAGCCAGTCAGCCTGGTCGGGGGTCCGATGGCAGTAGACCGGAATGTAGCATCACGAGTGGATAAATGGTAGTGTGGGATATGATGTTACTCTAGAAGATAGTGGGGTAATCGATAATGTATGTAATTAGCGTTGCGAATCTTATCGTGTTGAATATATTAAGATACTCGTACTGTGCATATCGTCGTGTCCTATCAATCGCCCTAAGCCCTCTCTCCGTCAGATCGGATCGCTGATGGCGGGTGGACCGTTGCATCCATCCATCGATCGTTGCATCGCAGCTGCGTGGGCAGCTTGGCCACTGGATTGGCCATCTCGTCCAGACATGAAACATGAAACATGTTTCACGCTGCCCCACTGGAGTATGGAGTATCTTCATCCTTCGCCAGGCAGTCTACGTGTGCAATGTGCATCCCCATATCCATGGATCGATCTCATTCCATTGCACCAAAATGACTTAGTGTGATGGGGTAGTGATCAATCTGAATCCCCATCCCATCGAATCTAGCGCCCATCACCAATAATAGTTACCTGGCATTGATCATTATCAGACTCTTCAAAAGCCAAACGAGTGGACGGTCCGACTCTGACAGACAAATCACCAATCGATCAATGATCAATTTGATCGATCGATTGAGATCATCCGACGATCAGTATTGCCTGCTCCAGCCCAGCCCAGCCCCGCGCCCGGCACTGGGCAACCGGGCAAGCTTATCATCATAGTCGACCTTCTTGAAACAGTACGTACGGTATCACGAGGTGTTAATTGTAACTGCAGTTAACTCCACAATAATTATGACCGTGCTGGAGGATCTGATCCGTCGATTCGGTCTCGAAGAACATGGACGGGACAGGCTGATGCGGAATCTTCATCTGCTGTTGCTGTTGTCTGCTGGGGTGAAAGTCACGAGAATCTCATCGCCTAATTAATGTACTCCGGACGGGAGATGGCATTTCTACTGTCGATATCACTACTAGAACACTAGCTACCTGCCTCGATAATCTTGCCCGTCGAGAGTGCGAGAAAGAGTGTGGCCGGTCATGGGCTGGACAGGGCACTGAAGGTATTGTCAGGATGCTCGTTGTCGCAGGATATTGGTAATCCTCCAGATCACTTGCTGATCCAAGATTCACTTGTCGAATAGCCGGTCCTCGCGGATTCCAAGCGACGTGCGATTACCACACATCAATCACGCGTCAGCAGTATGGGCCTACCTTGGAAGCTCTGGGATGCATCTGCAAAGCTCTTCTGGCGCGCAATTTGGACTCATGTTGTACCCTTCGTCGTCGTACGACTCGCAAAAGTGGCCGTCAGTCGCCCAGCTTATCTCGCTCTCCATGTAGAACCTGCCCTCCAAAGACCCCATCAGGCTGCTGCCAAGGTCAGT